GAAACAAGAAATCCAGGTGACTCAGCCTGTGAGGATCCTCGGGCCAACCACTGCAACATGGGCTGGGTTAGGTACTCATTGGCTGCAGCAGCCGAGAAAACCGAGGTTCGCTGTGGAGTGGAAATATCCATTTTCGAAGCTTTTTCAAGTTTTTCCCCAAACAAGAAAACACTTGGCCTGGGCTGGCCTGGAAATCTTTCGAACCCCTCCTTCACCGAAGTTCCCATTCCCTGACTCGAGGTCAACTCGCGAATCCCTGTCAGAAACGTGCTACTGCTTGTGAAAAACAATTTTTCCCGGCAGCAAGGGCCACAAACCAGGGTATCCCATTTCTTTTCCATTCCACCTTTTCCACCGGTTGCCCCTGATTCCACCGTTTTGTGGAAAAGCGACTTTTGAAAGCGAAATACCAAAATTGCTAAAACGCATTCTGCTGTGCAAGCATGTAATAAGCGAGAGTCGCTAAATTGCACCCATTGATCTACCCTTGTGGACCCTACTACGGCGCGGCTAAAGCGCAATAATCCCGTATGGACGTTGCGTAATAACGGTGGGCAGATCTCTTTTGACGGTGAAACTTAATCTCCAGGCGTTTTTCGGAGTTTAGCACCCCTCCGTTTTAAAAATCTAAGCGAATGCCACCCACTCAAACGGTCATTTTGGTGTGGAGCCCATGGGGTAGATGCGAAATTCCGGCGCAACCAACGGAATTTTGGCACTGAGCATTTTCAGCAAATGAGGCACAAAAATGACAAGCAGGGGCGAGTCGTGCCGAGCCTTGCCTAACACAACGGAAAAAAAAAGCCACTTTTCGTCGTACGGTGCTGTGGTGTCTTAGGATGCACGTTCAATCGGATTCTAGAGCGAGGTGGGCCCACAGACCACTGAAAACCAAAACTTTTGAAAAACGCTTTTTCTTGATTTAGCCAAAGGGATTTCAGCAAAAACGTAATATGTTAGTTTAAAAAATCCCCGTTCAGTCCACCCCATTGTGTGGCGTTTCTTTTGCGTTGTTGCCGTAGCCGTGAACTTTTCTTCGCTTATGCCATCGGAACGGAATTCTGCAGACACTTGCAGGCATCGAGAAGAGCATTATAAATTAGCCCTACACCCGTGTTTCAAATAACCATTCGTATTTTTTTTTCCCGCATGTCTGAGTTAGCAGGCTCTCAGACGCTCTTCGTGCCTGAAAACGAGAGAGTCTCTTTGGACGTTAATAACCTTGCTGTCACGGTCAAATCAAAAGATGTGGAGTCAGGTGTGGTGCCCATTCTTGACAGGGTATCCTTTGAGCTCCCTACCAACAACATCATGGCCATCATGGGCGGCTCTGGTGCGGGCAAAACAACGCTCCTTAACGTGTTGGCCCAGAGGTTGAATGTCAACCACGCCACCATGAGCTTCTCCGGTTCGGTCGAGTACGAAACCGCCAGTGGGAAGAAGATCACCACCGCTTACATGCAACAGGAGGACGTGTTCTTGCCTGGTCTCACGCTTCAGGAAACGTTGATGTACCAGGCCGAGCTCCGGATGCCTGGCATCACGCAGTTTGAGAGAAGGGAGCTTGTGGAGTCGCTCTTGCTGCTTTTGATGTTGAACCATCGTGCTGACGAGATTGTCAAGTCTTTTACAAACCACATCAACCTTTCCGGCGGTGAACAGAGAAGAACTTCCTTGGCAATCCAGCTTCTCAACAAGCCCTCGTTGCTTTTCCTTGACGAACCAACCACAGGTCTCGACACCACCTCTGCATTGACGCTTGTCCGCATCTTGAGGACCTTGGCGTCTCCCCAAATCGGCATAACCATCATTCTTTCCATCCACCAGCCTCGTCCGGAGATTGCTGCTCTTTTCGACAAGCTCTGCGTGTTGGCTCGTGGCGGAAGATTGATCTACTGTGACGCCTTGGCTGATGCCAATGCGTACTTTGCACGTTTGCACGAGAAGAAGGTGGTGGAGAAGCTCGAGGATGCCGACTCGTTCCAGACTTTCAACACACTCATGTCGATGTCGGTGAAACTGACCCGTTCGGCCACCGAGGAGGCCAGAACCTCGAGAATTGTCGACTCTCTTGTGGAGTCATGGCGTGTGGAGCACTCGAGGGAGTTCTCCTTGACCACCAACGAGGAGCAAAGCAAATTCAAGGGCAACATGAAGAAGTTCTCCTCCACACAGCCTTTGCCGCTCTGGAAGGAGATCTACGTGCTCACCAGAAGAACATTCAAGCTCTCGTACAGAGACTACTTCTCCTTGATTGCGCTTAACGGCATGTCGCTCTCGTTGGCTATTGTGCTCGGCTGGATGTTCTGGAAACCACCTGCCGACTTGGCTGGTATCAGATCGATCACCTCTTCCCTTTACGTGGTGATTGAAGTTCTCGGTTTTGCTCCTTTGCTTATGGAGCTTGAAAGACTCTGGGCTCACGATGGTGTCTTCTTCTTCAAGGAATACAAGGAGAGATGCGTGAGTATACCGGGTTTTGTCATCTCTAGACGTTTGGGTAAGCTTTTGCTTGAAGACATTCCTGTGTCTTTCTTGTTCTCCGTGGTGACCTACTTCATGTGGGGCTTGCGTTTGGGTCCCGACTACGAGGGCCCTCAGAACGACCCATACCATTTCGGAATCTTCTACGCCATTGCTTTCCTTGTCACGGCGATTGCCTTCTCCACCGGGTTTGTGTGCTTCACCTTGGGCTCAGACTTCTCCATTTCAGCCCTTATCTCCAACGCCTTTTACCAGCTTCAAAACTCTGGATGTGGTTACTTCGTCAATGCCGCCACCATGCCTGTCTATGTTCGTTGGGTCAAGTACTGTGCCTACTTCTGGTACGCTTTTGGTGGCCTTACCGCTAACCAGTACACTGACTGGAACGGACAGTGCCCATACCCCCAGGATGACGAGAGATGTCTTGAGTACACCGGTAACTACCAGCTCAACATGTTGGGTTTCCCACAGAACTGGATCGGTGAACCTATTGGTATCCTTGTTGCTTGGTGGATAGGTTTCAACATCATGGCTGGTATTTTCCTCTGTTTCAGAAACTACGACATGGCCGTGGCCAAGAAGAAGAAGAACAGAATTGGTGGTGACGAGGAGGACGAGAGAAAGCTTCTCGAGTTGTCCAGCGAGTGCAGCGAAGAAAAGGACCGTGTGGCTAGAGACAGTGTTGCCATTAACGTTAAGAAAATCACCTTGTCCGTTAAGGTCAGAGAATCTCGTTCTCTCCTTGCTAAGCGTGTCGACAGGGTTTTGCTTGACAATGTGACTGCCAACTTTAAGGCCAATGCCGTCAATGTGATCATGGGTCCTTCTGGTGGTGGTAAGACCACATTCCTCAACTTCTTGGCTGACCGTTTGCCCAAGACCTCGAGCTTTTCTAGAAGCGGCAACATTCTCTTGAACAACTACACTGAGGTGTCGCCCTCTGAATTCTCCAAGATTGCAGCCTACGTTACTCAGCACGACAACTTGTTAATTCCCCAGTTGACCGTGCGTGAGACGCTTTACTTCCAAGCTAAGTTGCGTTTGCCTGTTGAAGAGCACCTGAGAATTCCATCGATCATTGCTTTGCTTTTGAGACAAACTGGTCTTGTTGACTGTGCTGATACTCCAGTGGGATCTGCCACTGTCAAGGGTATCTCCGGTGGTGAGAAGAGAAGAGTGTCCATTGCCATCCAGCTTTTGGGCAGACCCAAGATTTTGTTCCTTGACGAGCCTACTTCTGGTTTGGATGTTGCTACCTCCAAGTCCATCCTCACGCTTTTGCACGAATTGGCTGAACAAGGTACTACAATCATTCTGACCATTCACCAGCCCAGCAAGGAGATGTTCTGGCAATTTGACTCGATGGTGTTGCTTGCTCGTGGTGGTTTCGTTGTTTACAACGGTGACGTTGATGTCATGCCTCGTTACTTCGACAAGCTCGGCCACCCATGCCCTCAGGATGTAAACTTTGCTGACCACGTTTTGGATACTGTTTCTAAGAGGTCCACCGAGTCCAAGGAGGAGTCTTTGGCTAGAGTGAACTTCATGATCCAGAACTGGAAGAAGGAGGACCAGATCAGCGAGAAGGAAGCTTTGGTGTTGAACGAGATTGATCTTGCCAAGTACAAGCCTATTGGTGCACCTCCATTCATGGCTTTCAAGACCGTGCTCCACAGAACCACCATTGTCTCGTTGAGATCGGTTGATGTCATGTTTGCTCGTGTGTTCCAGGTTTGTGCTCTTGGTGCCATCTACGCCATTTTCTTCGCTCCATTGAAGAACAACGTGCAAGGTATCAGTGACCGTTTGGGTCTCACCCAGAGTGTGATCAACTTGTACTTCTGTGGTTTGATCAACAACTTGAGTATCTACCCTACTCAGAGAGATCTTTTCCACCAAGAATACAAGGACTCTGCTTATGGCACTTTGGTGTTCCATGCTGCTTACTTCCTTGTGGAACTCCCCTTCGAGTTTGTTCCATGTGTGTTCTTCTCGGCCTTGGTTGTCTTTGGCATTGGTCTTCCAAGAAACGCTGGTATGTTCTTTGCTATGCTTCTCACATCCACGCTTGTCACCAACTGTGGTGACTCGTTGGGTATCATTTGCACGAGTATCTTTGAACACTTGGGCTTGGCCACCAACGTTTTGGCCAACATTGTCATGGTTGCCATTTTCATGGCTGGTACCATGTCGTTGCACATGCCTCCATTCTTCGAAGGATGGAACTACATCAACCCAGCAAAGTACGCTGTTCAAATCTGCACCAACTTGGCCTTCCCTAACCAAGAGTTTGAGTGTGGAGAAGGTGTCGCTGACTGTTCGCTTAACACCGGTGAGGCTGTTCTTGACTACTACGGTCTTGATGCCAAGGTTGGCAATGCCATTGGCGCCTTCATTGCCTGTGTGGTGGTCTACCGTATTGTAGCCGTTGGCTGCACATACACTAGAGCCAGATTTTTTGTATAGACTATAGGGACGGATAAAGGATAATATATTTATTAAATGAGGAGTTGTACCTAGCACTCGAAATCGAGTTTCACCACTTCCAACTGCACTGGAAGACACTGGTCCAGAATTGGAGCATCGTAGGTTTTATGGAAATCTCCAGCCAGACACTGGAAAAAGGTGGTTTGGTCTCCAAGACTCAAAAGGCTATCTTGAGTAACTAGCCACCCTGCCGCATACAAAGCTCCATACTGAGGAGTAGGTCCGTCAAACTGGAACTGGTGATTTCCCACAATCAGCCCGATTCTGTTTTCTGGGTCTCTCAAGACACCCTGGTCCAAAAACATGACAAGCGTATTTTCATCGGTGCAACTGGAGAACTTGATAGGGCCGTTGAAGGTTTCGAAACGGTCGGCTCTTTTGTGGTGTCCATGTTCTGGAACAACACTCACTGGTCCACCGACTATATCGTTTGGATCCAAGTTTTCAAAATCGGCCTCGTCACAGGGCAATTCTTGTGAAGGTGGTTCCAAAGGAGGCTCAAAGTCTTCAATATCATCAAGACAATCGGATTCTTCATCCGGCTCCTCGTGCAAAATGGGCTTTCTCTGTGGAGGTCCATCCAAGTCTGGTCTCAAGACCTGGCCCACCTCGATCTGGTGGATGTCTGCCCACTTTGTGGGGATTTCGTCGTCGACCAAAATATCACCATTTTCTTCATCGTCACAAGGCGGTTCCCAGCTGCCGTCAACCCACACAAACGGCTTTGTGACTATACCCACTGGGAAGGGAATGGAGGACAAAGCACCCTGTGGTTTTGGAGAAACGGGCTTGAGTTGGCGCCAGTCGGCACCGGATGACGGGTCGTAGAGAGCCGAGGAGAGGGCTACAAGGAGGAGTGGGGCGGTTTTTAAGAAGATCATGAGAAACAGTGGTAGTTGCTTTTTGCAACCATTTCGCGGTGGTATAATTCTAAAGAGGGAGGTGATGGAGGTATACCAGAGGATGGTGATGATAGAGAGAGGGCAAGGAAGCAGATCGTGGTATAAATGATTCGACGGTGCTTCATTAAAAGTGGAATTTGTGAAATCATACGATTTCCTTGTTATTAGGTGGCCCGTGAGGACTAACAATGGCTGATCTGAGAAGACAACGGCACCCAACATACCAAGCCTCCGACATGGCAAATCACAATACGTCACTTTCGTCAAATTCCCAAAATTTGTGGAATGGCCATTCCTTGTTTATTTCAATTTCAGAAGACTTCCCAAATCCAGCCAAAGCCTATAGAGAATACACTCCCTCAGCTGAAAGCCACATACAACAGCCCAAAGCCCAGTTTCACCATGGACCATTTCTTCATCCAAACCTTCATCAAAACATGCCGCTTGGCCTAAAAGTTGCACTATCTTAGCAGACCTTAGCTGTTTAGCGTGGTGGCTTAGCATTCCCAAAGATCAAGAAACAGGCCCAAAATGCAGAAAGGTGGAATTTTTCCAAACTAAGATGGCTGGTGAAAAAATAAGCTACATTCCCCGGAAACACTAAATTATAAGCATCCGTTGCCAGGAGCAACAGCGGAAATAATGATCCGCTGATTCAGCCACAAACACAAGGCTTGTGGTTGTCAAGTGGTCCCCCAACCTGATTTTTAGAATCTTTAGATACGAGAAGAAGCTGAAATGTTTATTTCATTGTAAAAGGTGGATCCCTGAAACCGATCGAGATGGCCTATCTTAATAAGGATTCAGGCATTCTGTGAGCACTGCAGAAACACGATTGAAAAACACCAAACCGAATTTGCCTTCAGGACCCTATTCCTACATTGAACAAGGTCATTCTAGTAATCCGGTCATCATTGCTATTAAGCTATCTTCATCGTATGTATGCACGAAATGTGAATGTTCCTGATTCAGGGTAGTCCTAATTCGCAGCCACCAGCCATACAGATCCAGAAACCCAACAAATCACAATCGAAAAATAACAGTCTTAAAGCTCTGGATCTCTAAAGTAGAGAATTTGTTTTTTAATTGCTAACTTCTAAATCTTCTCTTGTAAACCGGTTGGCCTGGACCACAGTGTGGTGTGGCCTGCACAGACACCCTATAACTCACGAATTACATCTTGCTTATTCAACCAACCTCTTCTTCTCAATGTTCAGATCAGTATTCCACACCGCCAGGCTCAGTGCCAGAAAGCCGTTTCCCTCGGCCTTGGCTATTGCCAACCCCCGCTTGGCCAGATTCATTTCCACAGAAATCAAAGATGCCATCGATAAAGCCGTTCTGAGTTCTCCAGTGGTGCTTTTCATGAAAGGTACTCCTGAATTCCCCCAGTGTGGCTTTTCCAGAGCTACGATCCAGATTTTGGGCCAGCAGGGCGTCGATCCCGTTAAGTTTGCTGCTTACAACGTCTTGGAGGACCCTGAGTTGAGAGACGGTATCAAGGAATACAGCCAGTGGCCTACCATTCCCCAGCTATATGTGAACAAGGAGTTCGTGGGAGGCTGTGACATTGTCATGTCGATGGCCCAGAGTGGCGAGTTGGCCGACTTGTTGGAGCAGAACGAGTGCTTGGTTCCAGAGGAGGAGGAGGAGCCCCTGGAGGCCAACGTTAAGCCATCGGAGAGATCTTAGAGAGGCGAGAGAGTGATAGAAGTGTGTAAATATGAAACCTTGTTTCTTAATGCTAATGCCGACCCAAACCCACTGGGCTTCTTCCGGAAACCCATAATACTATATCGTACCAACGTAACACGGCTACGCCTGTCCGCTCTTGACAGAGGACCGTCTTCTAAGCAAATTCAGATCGTTCAAGTTCAACGTGAACTTGTAGTCGCCGTTCACACCACTTATAACCAGCGACGACCGCGTGGCACAGTCGTCGTCGTTGTGCAGAAGCTTGGACGAGTCGGTGGACGATGTGGACAGAATCGAGAGTAGTTTGAGCGTCAGAAGCTTGTCCTTGAGCTCACCCACACCTTCCTGGCCTTCGCCGGCTTCGTCGTCTTGCTCTTCATCCTGCACTTCTTCTTCGTCTTCCTCTTCTTCCGAGTCAAAATCAACCACATCCAGGGATAACTCCTCCGAGTCCGAGTCACCGCCCTTTTCGAAAACATCCTTAAAGTTGACATTCTCGATAGGGTTGGGTGTCTTGGGCAAACTCGTCTTGCGGTGGGCACCCTTGTTGGAATCAGCGTCGAACTTAACGTCTCTAGGGTCAACACCATCCTTGGGCTCTAAGTGGCGCTGGTGATGAGCCAACAGCTTCAAGTTGACATGAGACATGGCTGGGTTGTTGAACACGGATCTGATGGCAGCACCTGGAGTAAGAATACCACCAGGCGACTTGTGACCGGGAGAATGCGAGTCGGTCTTTGCGTTGTCCACCGTCAATGTGTTGTCGTTCTCATTTGTAGACTCAGGGAAGTAACTCGACGATTCAAGCGACACAACGTCCGCAAGCCAAGGGTGCTCGTAGATCTCGTCAAGGGTGATACGGACCTCTGGGTCCACCACAAGCATCTTCGAGATCAAGTCCTTGGCGTTTTCACTCACCTCATCCCACCATGGCTCCAAAAACACATAGTCGGCGGTGATGATCTTGTGGGTGAGAACGTCGTGGTTGTCGTCGTAGAAAGGAGGGAAGCCACAGAGGACAGTGTAAAGGAAGCAGCCGAGAGACCAGATGTCCACGGCCTTGGAGTAGAAGTTGCTCTTTGAAGTGGAGCTCTTGAATCTTCTTTTTCTTTCGACGCCACAGTGAATCACTTCGGGCGCCGTGTAGCCGGCGGTGCCACATGGAGTTTTAAGGTTGCTTTGCTTCTTGCCCGGAGCGGCAATGTCGTACCTCAACTGCTTCGCTAGACCAAAGTCAGCCAACTTGATGGTTCCGATACCGCCGCCGCCGATACCGGGTTTGAACTCGCCCTCGTCCTTTTTGGACTCGTCGTCCGAGGCACGGAGGGCCTTTTTGATGTCCTTGTCCGAACGCTGCACGTACGGGATTCTGTTGAAAAGGAGGTTCTCGGGCTTGATATCCCTGTGCACCACATTGTTCTGGTGCAAGAAACGGATGGCGTTGAGCAACTGGGAGAAAACGTGCTTGGCCAAGTTTTCGGAGAAGTAGGTGTATTCGATAATCTTGTTGAAGATTTCTCCGCCGTCGGAGTATTCCAACACGAGGAAGCAGTTTTCCTCCAGCTCAAACAGCTCGATCAAACGGAGAATGTTGACGTGGCCGCCGGCGTTGGTGAGGTTGTTCATGATGTTGATTTCGTTCTGGATGTTGTTCAACTGTTTCAGCAGGAGGTTTGTCTTGTTGATGATTTTGATGGCCACCTGCTCCTTCAGGTCGACCTTGACACCTTTGTAAACCAGGGAGAAGGCGCCCTCACCCAAGAGCTGGCGCAACTGGTAGTTGGCCGGGAGGTCTGGGTAGTTGGACAAGCTGAACATGGCGTCGGCTGGGGAGCTCGACACGTCAGGCATTTTCACAGAAAAGGTGTTTTGGGACAGAAGCACCGGGTCCAAGGGCTGGATAGGGGCCGGATGGGAGGGTGCTGGGTGGTTTGAGATGGGGGCTTGTTTGGGAGCTTCGGGGTTCTTGTCGAAGCGTTTTCTGATGCTCTGGGGTTAGTTTGTGTTGGGAAACGGGAGCTTGGGTGGTAAGGAACGGAAAGGTTAAGTAGGTACAGAGGGTAAAAAAAAAAAAAGCAAAAAAAAAGGTGGAGTGCGAATTCTGGGGCAGGGTCCGAGACAAGCGAGGCCGAAAAAACCCACTGAGCACACGGGCTGCAAACGGACTTCGTTCGAGGCTGAAACGCCGCAGTGGAGGCGGTGTGATATCTGGAGAGGGTTTTGATTTAAAAGTCAAAGAAATCGAAATCAAAAAAAATTTGAAAATCAAAAACCTAAATCAAATTTTGCCGGGGCCAGCGGACTCCGACGGAGGTAGCTTGGTCGGAAGAGCCGGCTGCGAAGGCCGAAACTCGAGCCACCAGCCTGACTGCGAGGCCAAGTGCGAGCCCACCGCGAGGCCCCAGCAGGCCATATCTGCGAAGGGGCCGAATGCGAGTCCACCGCGGGAAACTCGGACTCACCCCAGATTCACGAAGCACGAAGCACACCACAAAAATCCACAAACCACGAATCGCCAACTCCCCAAAATCTCCAAATTCATCCACTATCAAATTCACTAATCAAATTCCTATTCAAATCCACTTTTTATCCACTTTTTATCCACTTTAATCCACCTTCCGCTATTATTCATCAAACAGCACCGCGAGTCTACGTACCAGGAAAAGTGTCATTGGCGGCACGAAACCGGGGCAGGGGCGCCTATTTATGGGACGCTGCCAGGATCAGTGGCCCTGTCGCGCTGGGGCATGCGGGGCGCCAGAGGTTGTGAGACAGGGTTTTGGGAGGCCGTTTGGCGGGAGATTTTCGGGTGTCGCCGGGATGTCCCATAGCAGCATTCTGGCGAAATTTCAACAAAAATCCTCCAAAACCACCTCTTTATTTCCCACCCTCTTCCACCTTTTGTGTACTATTTTCACCTTCGTCTGCTGCTGTCCTGCCTGCGACTGCCGGCCTCGCAGCGGAGCGGTAAACAGCCCCTTGTTTACACTGTTTCCCCAGGGTGGCTATTCCTGTCTGCCCCACGCCGCCTGACGTCACACCGCGGCCCCCTCGCCGGAGCGGGAATGCCATACTTAGAAGGAAAGAAACTGAGGATGATTAGGTTTGGCACTGAGTGATTGGCATTGGATTATTAGTTTTAGGTTGGGAAGGAACTCCCCATTGAAGGTTAGGCACTTGGCGTGATCCCCATATCACTAGCATTTCAACAATTTTTAAGTCTCAGATTTGGTGGACTTCGTCCACGACTGCCTCTCGCTGTGGCCTCATGCTACATTCCCCCT